GATAAAAATCTTTCAAAGATAAAACATTTTGCACCGGATCCCACCTCAGATGTTTCGGAGGTCCGTGTTTTCGCTGCTCCTATTTTGTATCGTTTTATGGACTTTGAGATTAAATACTGTTCGTTATCTCCATATCCTTTATTAAAAACTTTTTTTCAGTCAGTAGGACAGTCAAATTCTACATAGTTTATCCCTGAAAAATAAGCCGTGTTTCGAAGGATTCAAAATAAGGACCAATGAACCACATCGCTCACCTGAGTGACTTTAGCCATGCTATTCCTTACCAGATTTTCCTTTTGTAATACCTATTCTGAACCCACCCTACCCAAAGGGGTCGTAATATGGAGAACGTAGAATCCACATTACGCCAGGATGCATCCTCAAAAATGTCAGCTTTTCTCACCCCGTGCTTATGAAGGATATTCTTTAAAAAGATTTTGCATAAATATTTCTAATGAAAAAGTCTGATTTCATATTGTTGCCCGGCATTACCAAAGGGGTCTTGATTTTAACAATTTAGAATCTACACTACCCTCAGGATGCTTCCACATAATTTACTGTTTTTCAAGTCTTGTGATTCTTCAGAGGTTATTTATCAAAAATGTATATATGTTAATGTAAAACTTGGATTCCCTAGCTCTACCCCGGGGTCATCATTTGAACACAATAGAATCCACAAAAGAAAAGACCATACCCATGTTGGTTCCTATTTATTATTGTAATATATAAAAGCATGTTTTATTTTGTAATGAGTTTCCATATTTAATAAGACTTCAAAATCTGAATAAAGCATATAAAAATGAACATGGACACTGAAGTTCACCTGTTACCGGTGCATCTTTTTTGCACCCTGCAATTCTTACTGACTTCCATCCTCAAGGAACAAAACTGCATACTCAGTACTTTTGATTTAATTGTCACGTTCCTTCCTTTTATTAAAAATATGAAAGACTAATGTTTTTGATTTTAAGAATGGAATTATACATGTTTGTGTCCTAAGAAATGATACCTTTCACAGTGAAATTACTTTTTAATAACCTTTCAAAAAACTGTAGTAGTCAATCCTTTTTTCTATGATTCTATCTTTGCACACGATTTAAAATTCTATGTTGCCTACAATATAAAACGTGTGGAAAGGACATCCTTCAATTTGTTACTGAGTGGCACATTTCCTGACGTCAGAAGGAGTATAGACCGGACAAAGACCTGCTGTTTTCTTTTGTTTCTTTCTCGTGTTTGACACCTCCTTGCATCTTGTCTCGTGTTTAACACCTCCTCCTATTGAGGTACAGAATATGGCCATACGTGAGTCATAATTGTACTTTTTACTCAATATATTCTATTGAAAAACTTGTTTTTATTGAAGCAATTGTTGTGAGGTCAAGTTTAGTGAACAATTTCCATGCTATTTTCGCTGAGCCATAAAATGCTGAACAAAAGGATACACAAATCATAGAGATTGAGTTATGAAATTGTCAAGACAAAATTTTCTATACTCAAATTAAAATACACATTCTTAACAAATTAAAGGCATGGATTTCTTTAGTATTTGACATGTAATATTACCCCCAAATGACTACCAAAACACTGTTTTGAAAACTGCAAAGAATTCTGCAATTTATGATGTTTAGTTATAGAAAATGAGCAATAACTAAAACGGGAAAAAAGTTTTAGTAAAACGCATTTTCAATAAAATATTCATTGTATCTGTAGAAAAATAAAAGTATGACTCATTTATGGCCAGGTACCGTAGGTAATTCAACACAATATAAACAACTCTAGAAAAAAAGAGCACATATAGATTAAAAACCTGAAAGAAGCCAGGAAGAATACAACTTTCACCAAGATAAGCGAAAGTGTTCAGTAGAAATGCAATTATGTTCTGAGGTGATTGCATAAATCAAAATATAAATTGAGGAGAAAGACAAGGTGTTTTCTGCTTTTGTTGACAGAAAATGGGTACTCGGAGATATGTAGATGAAATACATTCACCGACGTTTATGACCCACAAGATTGAACTTTTCTTGTTTCATAGCAAAATGATTAATTTCTGTACTCATAGTCATGTTAATAACGCTAAATTCAACTTTTCATATTTCTTCCTAAAATCATAAAACTTGTTTATATCAGACAAGCTTTTTTATAAAGAGAGCTAATACTTGTGATATATCTCTCGTTAAGAGGTCTTTAAGCGGTTGTTAGGTTGCGTCAATTTTACTACATCTCAAATTAAACTTACATCAAAACAAATATAAATCTCGATCTTTTAATATAACAAAATCATTTTAAAAGCCTTTACATCCAGTTTATTATCAATTAAGCAATACGGCAGAAAAATATGGATATATTTTCTCGATTGGGAACGCTGTACATGATAATTTGATCCTTATTCTGTCTTCATTTGGAACGATTCTCGGACGTTTCCTCGGAAGTCGAATTATCCATTGCAGAGTCTTGTTGATCGTCGTTTCCAGATGATTTTTCATCCTCATCCTCGTCTGGGAGAAGTGCTTTCATCGTCTCTGTTAGTGTCGTGTCAGACATTGTAGAGGGGTCCCCGACAGAGTTGACAGAATTGGACATTTGGATTACATCTGAGATGCGAATTTTCATGATATTTTCTATATCATTGCGCTCTTCATCCGACAGTTCTTTGAAAGCAGGGTCAACTGATTCGAACATTGATTTGGCTATTTTCATCAATTCGTCAATGTTAACTACAAAAGAGCAAAAATGTTTTTACGTTTTTATTTTATTGTTTAATTTAGGCAGCTTGAAACAAATACTTAGGTGAACTTTTTGTTATTGAAGAGTATCAGGCGTCTGTATGTCTTTTGTTTGTAAACTTTTGAACTATTTCCCAAGAGATACTGGTACTACGCTAATTTAAGCCAAACTTACTCCCGAAGCATAAATGGATAAAGAGGATTAAAGATATATTCAAATGAAAAATTTCACTCACTTGTAAGGGAAAAATTAGTAAGAATTAATGAAAAGAAAATCCGTTCAAATCTTGACCCCGCAGGCGAGAGTAGGAACAAACAGACAATCAAAGTTTTACATAGGTAAATTTGTATACTCGAATGATATCTTCTATAGAACAACAGAGCTATGGATATTCATATCATGGAATCAGATCATGATGATAAAGATTCAATTTTCTGCAGATACCCCACCCCGAAGCTTCAGGGAAGGGACACAACATAAGATAAAAGTGTTAGAAAGGGAGCTTTAGGAAACTCTCCTGCTCTGTTAAACAGCAAATGGAAAATGTTCTAGTTTAATTTTATAATATGAAAACATCATCCTATGGCGTAGATTCAATTTCTTTGAAAATCAGGATCCTCAAGGCTGGGGTCTACGCCATGGCTTTAGAGATGAGCCAAAGTAAGTGATCAGAATGTATATAATGAATTCGTTCAGGAAAAATATTCTTCAAATCAGCAGGAAGTTATCACCGTATTGATTTTGAAGCAATCCCTTTGTCCTGTACATTTAACTTGAGTTTAATCTTTTAATAATTTTAGGTCGTGATCTTCGTTAAATAATATTTTAAAAAGATTTAGTAACTCAAAAAGGATATTTAAAAAAGAACGTTTTGTTTTGAACAAAGTAGAATTATTTAGGTAAGTTGTTGGCCTCTTGTATTATTTTCATGAATAAGGGTAACTTTTTTAGATCTCTATCTATTTTCTTTACAATTTATAAAGCTTATCTATTTAATTAATATAAATCGTTTTATTTGTTTCATTATTTGTCCTCAGGACCAAAATTTTTTCATACATGTAAAAATACATTAAAATATAGATAATAATTTGACAAGTCTTAGCCAGAAGCTTAAGAAATGTGGGAACTTCGTAAGATGCAATTAATAATGTCCAAAAAATGCGTTTCTATTTTTGGTTCTATGGTCAAACAATGACTTTGTCAGCAAATACAGTTTATCAATGAGTCAAATGCTGACTGACGTTTTTCATACTAATTGTTAGTCCATTATCTATATATGTTTTGGAGGTCCCTGTTTGCTACGCTCCTATTTTGTATTTTTTTATGGACTTTGATATTGAATACTGATATTTACATTATGTACCTTCATATCCTTCATAGATTAATGAAGTAAATACATGTAGCACAAAGGCGCATATTTGAAGACATAAGAACATCTAGGAGTTCTTTACGTTTTAGATAAAAAATTAAAATTGTATATCAGTCAGGGCATTTTGTTTATTTTGTTTGTGTTCTTTATTCTCAAGTTCAATGTATAGTTTCTGTTTCTCTTTACAAAAGGAAAGAAAAGAATGCAGTTCTACATGTACAATAGAGAACATACCTTTTTCTGGCCCAGCCATTTTGTTTTGATACTAGGAGCCTACATTTAGAGAAAAACATGGTATACGTTTTCACAAACAAACTACACCTGTTCTTAGAAATGTCAGAATTGACATTTTAAACAATCATTTATAATAAGTACACAATAAACATCTATATACATGCTATCTAGCTGCATATTAGTTTTGAAAATGTATTGCTTGCTTCTTCAACTAAATCTAAACATGCTAGTACACACAATTATTCCTTCAAAAGTCGAACATTTTCAGGTATGCACTGAGGAACATGAATATAACGATTTGAATTTCTTAGTATAATTAATTTGTTTTTATTGAATTTTTAAATTACAATGCAGCAAAACTTTGATACTTTACGTGTAATAAATTAAACTAGAGCTAAATATTGTATTTTTGTAATTAAGGAGAGCTCGTCTAATTTCTCTTATGAAGTGATATGCAAAGTAAAAGTACATTATTTTAGTCTTATATTGCATGTATGAAACAAACATCAAACATCCATGTGCAAAAATAATACTAAATTATCAGTAAAAATTACATACCGTATCAATGAAATTAGAAGCGTGATGTACCTTTCAGTGTTGGATGTTTTACTTGAACGGATATTTACAACTGTGAGGAAACCATCAATTGCCGGATAAAGGAATATGTACAGGATTTAATTATCTACAATATATCCTCTTATAAAGAGCTGGGCATCGAAGGATCTTCTGAGTATAATGTAACTGCACTTAACATTGCCAATGAATACAGGAAAAAATATTTTCTTTTACATACCACCACCCAATGAATAATGAGTACTACACTAAAATTAACCTAAAGGGTACAAAAAAAAAAGAAATTAGATTAATATCATATACTGAGAATGCAGAAAAAATGGCCATACTCTGATTCTTCTCTAAATAGAGTTTACAAAAATATACCTATTATAAACAAATAGCTTTATTTAGGAATGTAGCAACACAACCAAAATAATTTGATTAAAAGATAATTTGTGCAAGTGCATTTATTAATATTGATAATTTGATAAATTTTGAATACGTAAAAAACCCTCAAAGGTCAATTGAAATGATATGGAATAAAAAAAAGATAATTATTAATATACATTGTAAAATGGAGGAGTGTGTGACGGCACATATGATCATTTTTCAGCACAGGCTCTTTAATGTATTTTTTTTTTTTTAAAGTGGATTTGCTTCTGTCATCAATCGCATTACACAAATTCTACGATTAGACCTGTTGTTCTGTGTGCAACTGAATATGACGTAAGTTATGTCACAAAAGCAACATTGCATTTTTTTCCGAATATTTCCCTTAAAATAACTGTAGTATTAATGTCTTCGAATGAAGGAGATTTAATACGTACTACATATACAAGCTGTTGAACGTTAATCTCGTAATAAGCAAGGTCATCATAAATCTGAACACAGCTACATGCAATATTATTATAGTCTATTTATAGTCCCTATACAGTTCATAACACGACGTATTCACCGATTTTAGGCCGTATTCACCAGAAGGTCAATGCACATGCAACATCATTGTGACGTAACTGAATCCTTATAATAAGGAGCACCAGAGAAGGTTGATTCATAAAATACATTTAAAAGTCGGAAGTAATTTAGCAAATATAATATAATTATAACCCATTACAAACCTATTGCAATGATATTTTCGAAAAATAGTTTAGTAACCATTCATTATAAAATCATTTCAAGATAGATCTATGCAGAAGTCCATTTAACACTGTTTAAGGTTTATGATAAAAGTAAAGAATAACAATTTTATATCTAGACCTTAGCATGTATATAATATGTCAGTAAAGTTTTTTTTTTATAGTGATATAAGCTAGAGTAGAAATATTAAAGTAATGATTTTAAAATGTTAAGTTTGCAATGAATTATACGGCAACAAGCTTTCAAAAATAATTCTGACCCTTGACTGAATTAAATTAAAAGAAGATGGACTGTTTTTTTCCTGTACATTAAAGAGATCAAAACAATTTCCATTCTCCTGTAGGATAAAATACTCTATAAATCATTTTGATAGAGAACTTTTAATCCTATTAGTTACAATTATAGAACTTCTTATCCCATTTAACAAATTATGGGATAAAAAAATCCCATGTAAGGTTAAAATTGGGAGTTTTGATTCTACAGGAGAAAAAATCCAAAAGAACTCATTTTCTCCCACATAATAATGGTGGGATATTGGTTAGTAGAGAAAATCCCACCATAATCTCATAGGATTTCGTGATTGCAGGTGTAATATCTTTTAAACTAGAAGATATTCAGGTGTAAAGGTTAGTCCATGTTGTGCGATTAAAAAAAATCCCACCAGATGACATAAATGGTTTCCATGTATCTTTGGAAAAGTGGTTGGTCCTGACAAATGTCGTGTACGGATTTAAATGTCGCACTTTTATTAGTTCTTCCGAAATGGTGTAATTCCAAAGAGTCTGACAAATCTGTTTCATACTTACTCATTTTACTTGAAAAAGATATTAATGGTAATCTAACAACCACGTTATACGATAAATGTAATGACTTTAGTTTTTCTTTTGTCAACTACCCTTACTTATGCGGCAATATACGTTCATTACATGCATACGAAGTCTATATATCACAGTTGATTCGATACGCAGAAGCATGATATACAGTACTTATGAACAATTTCTAAGACGAGATTAATTATTAACAAGCAAGTTGACGAAAAATATCAACAGTCTCATTTAAAGTAATAATCTCGTAAATTCTAGGGTCGATTTAATGACCTTATCAGCAAATACAATTTATCATTGAGACAAATGCTGACTGACGTTTCTCATACTAATTGTTAGTCCATTATTTATACACTGAATTAACGACGGATTTTTTTTCCGTTATTTCCCCATCTATACAAGGAGCACATGGCGGTTGTGACCGGTCAGCAAGGGAAGCTCACGCCTCCATGGCACCTGATCCCACATCTAATGTTTCAGAGGTCAGCGTTTGCTCTGCTCCTATTTTTTAAAATTGTTTTATGGACTTTGAAATTGAATACTGTTCGTTATCTCCATATCCTTTTTCTGGAGGAAGGGGCAATGCTATATTCACTAAGTAATGTATTTCTATCATTGTTGTAAAAATATGTACGCAATAAATTGACACAAACTGTGAATCCATTGCCTCTTATCTCAAGAGTTGGGGTCAATTTTTGGAATTTCCTTATGTATATGAACTTGTCTGTTAACGTTATAATAACGTTACATAAACATTACATACATGTCAATGGAAGGAAACCGATTTCTTATCTTAACAATACTTGCAGTATTTCTTACGACGGGTGAGACTTTTTTGCCGGTTACCCATAAATGATAGCTCAACATAGTAAAAGAAATGATAAAATATTATACTGTCCTTGCATTGCATTTCAGAAATTCATTGTGAATGTCCAGAAGGATGGTTCCCACACGATTCCAGCTGTTATTTGTTTTATCAACAAGGAAAAAATTGGACTGCCGCTGAGGTATATACATTTACATTTATTTTACTTCTGTTAAAATGTTTCTTATATAAAGTTGAGAAGGTAAAATAACTATCTTTTATAGTCTTACAATGTGCAAGCATAGCAAAGGTATACCATAGCCTGGTTCCCTGTCCCTGCAATGCTTCGTATACTCCGGCAAGCTCCACAAGCAAGTGATAATGTATAAAAGACATGCATTATGAGGGAAAGATTCCCAGGGAGTGTGTGCGAGCCCGCTACCATTTCTATTACAGAACTCAAGCTGGAAAAAAGGACAGTATAAAATATTTTTTGAATAATTTGCTTGTGGTTTTGATGCTCATTTAGATTGGATAAAATGTTGATATCACATTTTGTACAAAATCTTTAGTCTCTACGATCAAAACATGTAGTTCATACCCTCAGTGTAACCGGTCGACTGAGGGGCGGGCGGGCGGGGAGGGGGCTTCCTGGACACCCGATTCCACCTGGTGAATTTCCGTCTGTTCCTGATTTATGATTTGTTACAAATTTGTATTGTTGTATCGTATGTTTTTTAAAGACCGACCACCGCTCGTTATCTCAAACATTTTCTTTATTTTTACGTTTTAGTATTATTCATCAAAAAGGGGTCGATCCTATAAATGCTGTGCATTATAAAACCATTTTTTAAAAGACAAAAATTGTCATTTTGCCTTCAATTTCCGGTAGAAAAACATTTAAAAATGACTCTTTTGAAAAAAAAAACAGTTAAGATATAGAAGAATAACATGCGATGACTCATTTTACCTGTTCATTATTTATAAGACATTTTGCAGTTTATAAGGCGCCTTACCTAACTTTAAACAATTCTATTATCCGAAACAAAAAAGTAAAAAGTACTAAATATCCTGTTTTGTTTATTTTACAGGACTATTGCAGAAGCTTTCATTCCTATCTTACCAATATAAACGATGAATCTGAAAACCTGTTTCTTAAAAAACAACTCAATTTACATGGGAATACAGGTTTTGATACTTTATATTTAAACATACGAAAAATAAGGTCAACTAAAATGTTTAAAGCACAAAATTGGTTAGCATGCATAAAAAAGAAATGCAATAGCTAGAGATAAAACAACTTTTAAAAACATGTAGTAATAATATCGATGAAAGCTAAGAATGTTTCCCATGTGTTGCGAAGAACAATTCTTACACTTTGTAGCTGATTTCTGGGTTGGAGCGACTGATGCCATCAGTGAGGGTGGGTGGAGATGGATGCCAGGGTTTGATCCTATAGTCTACAGTGACTGGATGC